AGGTGGTGGTTGATGTGCTGCCCTCGGCCCGGCTGAGCGAGGAGTGTGCTTGTTGCTGCCAGGCCCTGCTCGCTGCGTGTGTCCTCTGTGGGGTGCCCGGGGCAGCGGCTGAGGAGTGCCGGGGAACAGCATTTTGAGGGCAGAGCTGGCACAGGAGAGCTTGGGCTCCTCGCTTTGCTCGGCTTTAGGCAGCTTTCTACCTGCCCTAACCACCCCTGTGCGGAGGAAAGTGGAGCCCCATTGCCTTACTACATCCTTTGGATCAAAGGTTGGGCAGCGCTTCAGCTGGTGGAGATGGACTTTGCTTTGCAGTGTGGCTCCCGCAGGCAGGGCTCGGGGTGGAGCGAGTGTGGCAGTGCCCCGGTGTGCTGCCGTGTGGGCTCTGCCCTGGTGCTGTGCTCCCAGGCGCTGGAAGCAGCGACCTGCGCTGGGGTCCCCAGCCTAGCTGTGTCTCCAGCTTCGGTTGCCTTGGCTTGCTCAGGAGCAGCTTTCCAATGCACAGCCAGCCTTGCAGCTGGAAGAATTTATGATGGCAGTTGGAGGCACTCCCCCCTTCCTTCCCCACCCCTAGAGCTTGTAAAATTTGTGTAAACTTAAAGGAACTCTTCGGGAACAAAAACTCTTTGCACTGAACAGCTCCTCGTGTTGAAATTCAGAGCTGAATTTAGGCCAGAACCGCCCTTTTCCTGTAACTTAAACCCATCGTTTCCATGTGCTGGCACTGGCTGGTGATGCGGGCTGTGCATGCCAGCCCCTGGGAGGTCTGTGGCCGAGGTGATCCAGTGAGCTTCTCATTTCTACAGCATCCCAGTCTGCTTCTTGCAGCTCGGGGAAGGGGCTGGAGCAGAGCATGTGCTGGTGGACAGACAGTGATAACAGCATCGCTGCCAGGCACAGAACACGCCGTCCTTGCCATGCTCCTGGCTCTGGTGCCAAGCTGTTGTGACTTGGAAGAGGTTGCCCTCGTGTCTGATAGAGATAGAGCTGTTTATCTAGGGGTGAAACCTCTTGTAAGAGCTTCCAATCTGGTAAGCACGCTTTACTAATCCTCGAAAATCAGAGGATCCTGACAAGGCCTCTGTCGCAGGCTGTGGAGCAGAGCACATGAAGCTGGGGGCTGCTGGCTTTGGGCTCAGGCTCTTAGGGATGCACTGAAAAGGCACCTTCCCTCTTGGTTTTGTAGTCTTAAGCGCATGACGCCTACAGCTCTCTGAAGCTGTGACTGCCCCAAGTCAGGAGCATTCATACCAGCAGAGAAGCTGCTTGCAGGGTCAGAGGGCGGTAGGACCCATCTGCTTAACCCTATGGGTGACGTGGCCCCTCAGCAGGGCTGCTGGTGGATCTCTGCTTGCTCTGAGCTCTGCCCCTTTGCCTCTTTCAGCGGCTCACGCCACATCTTGTGCAAGGGAAAGCTGGCGCCGCACTGGCAGGAGGAAGTTGGATGGTTGCTCTTGAGTAATGTGTAACCAGCCTCTCCCAGCAGCTACGGAGCAGTGTGACTTCCAGAGCAGCGACCTTGTTTTTGGTTGGTAGTCAGGAAGCAGGAGAAGTGGGATTTGGGTCAGTCTGGTGTCACGGCATCCCCGTGACCCCACTGATTCATGTCGCCCTGCCTCTCCTTCCCCAGGCTGCACTGCCGTAACCTCGCTGCAGGTCCCATGCACCTCCCTGTGTCCCTTCCCTTGCTGTGGCTCTGACCCTTGAGCACCTCTGTGTGACAAGGACTGATAGTGCTGTTACTGAGCTGTGTCAGCTGCGGGCGCTGGCCTGGCCTGACCTCCTGTGTCAGAGCTGGCACAGGGATGGTCTACGTGGCAGGGCGCCCCGTGGAGATATGAACCCCCCCGGGGGTAGGAGCAAGCTGGGGGAAGGTCATGCTAACAGAGGTGTGTAGTTGAAGATGTGGGAGTATCTATTAGTGGAGATACTTTTGGAGAGCAGATGCTGGGAGCTGCTGCCAGGCCATGGTGAGACGCTGGCTGGGTGCTCACCTCCTGCCCTAGGAGAGAGCAGAGCAGAGCTGGTGCCTGGGAGTTCTTGTGTGAGCTCCTCTGCTTCCAGCCCCGGCAAATGGCTGTTCCCTGCCCAAAATAGCCCCTGTGTGCTGCCAGCTTGTGGCTGTGTCCTTTGGCCGAATTGGAGGGTCTCCAGCTCCCACCTGTCTGGATGTGCTCAGCAAGGGCATGGCTCGTGTCTCCTGCCAGCCCTTGGGTACCCAGGGAGAAAGTTGGGAGCTCTGTGGACAGACCTGTAGATCCACTGGGGGAGTGAACTGACAGGCAGAAGGTGTTTGCCTGGGGCACCTTGCCCTGTGCCAAGCTGCGTGGGGAGCATCCCCTTCGCTGCTGTCATCCTTGTGTTGTACAGGGAGGTGTTTCTTGCCTTCCCTCTCTTCCCTTCTTGGACCTCCATGGCATGGTGGCACCTCGTGTTTGTATCATTAAACAGCATCTTCCAGCGCTGTGAGGAGCAGAACTGGCAGAGCCTTCCTTGGGTGGCGGGTGTGCGGGTTAATGCCCATGTGCTGGGAGTGGCAGCTCTGAGGAGAGCTGCTGGAACAACGTGTGGGGCTCTGCAGATTGCAGGAGGAAAACACTGGTGGCATTAGAGCAAGCAACAGCCATGGCACAGGGGAAACAAACAGCACTGGTTGGCAGCAGGAGGAGTGGTCTGTGATCCAGTGTGGAAACCAGCATCCATCCCTCCCTCCTGGACTTTGGAGGGCTTCCAGCTTGTCCTGTGTGTAGGGCTCTTGCAGCTGCACTGGGCTGGACTTGCCTCTTCCAAAGAGCCTATAGTGAGCCTGGTTGTGAGCTGATGCTGTCCACACCTCCTTCAAGCTGACCAGCAACTCATCTGTACTGGCCTTAAAGTCACCAAGCTTCCCGTAAAATTCCCACACTGGGAGTGGACAGGGCTCAGCATGCACCTGGAGCACGTGGGGCTGTGCAGGACACACCTGGGTGGACCACAGGGCGATGGGACTGGAGGTTCTCTGTCACAGAGCTGCTCTTGTCTCCTTCCAGCCACCCTGTGTGTAGCAGACCCTGTCGCCCCCTGCCCTGCTGCTGACTGCTCTTCTCTTCTGCAGAATCATCAAAAATGTGGTCAAGACCTTCAAGTATTTCTTCGGCCTGAGGTTTGAGGTGAAGGGACTGGAGAACTTCGAGGTAGAGGGCCCTGCTATCATTGTGTCCAACCACCAGAGCATCCTCGACATGATGGGTGAGGAGCTGGTAGGAGGGAGCAGTTCTCTCGCTCACCATCAGAAATCCTATTCATGTCCCCTGGCCAAGCCTGGCCAGTGTGGGCTACTGAGCCCACTGGTGCGGCAGGACACCCGCTGTCCCTGCCAGTGCTGGTGCAGGAAGGGTCTCCCCTCACCCTGAGCAATCGCAACCAGTGCAGCACCCCAGGTACTGCTCAGCTTCGGGTGCTACTCGGCTCCCTCTTACACCCCTCCTGCTCTGTTGGTGGCAGTAGAAAGAAGCCAGCAGAGAAACAGGGCACTGGCCTGTCCCTCGTGCTCCCCTCCACACCTCAGGCCTCTCGTCCCATCTGAGTGCAGGCAGGGGGTGACTGCTGGGTCTCACCCTCTGCCATCACATTAGGGCTGATGGAGGTGCTGCCCGACAACTGTGTCCAGGTGGCCAAGAAGGAGCTGATGTACACGGGCTCCGTGGGGCTCATCATGTACCTCGGCGGCGTCATCTTCATCAACAGGAAGAGCACCACCAGTGCCAAGATGGTGATGACGGAGGTGGCCAAGACTATGGTGGCTGAAAACGTGAGTGTGACCATGGTGCTTGGAGGGGTGGTGTGTGCCTGGGGTGGCCTGGGGGTATGTGGCACTCCTGGTGCTGGCTCATCTGCAGCTCTTGGCAAGGCCGGCTGGTGGCTGGGCCGGCAGGAAGGAGTGCTTCAGCAAAGCCTTATCTCTCCATGTGCAGGTGAAGGTGTGGGTGTACCCAGAGGGCACGAGGAACTGCACCGGGGACTTCCTGCCCTTCAAGAAAGGAGCATTTCACCTCGCTATCCAGGCACAGGTAACGGTGCTGTGCCCCTGCCGGGGACCCTGCGGGCTTCCACAGTGCTGTTGCACACTGGTCATGCACTGGTGTGGTTGATTTGCTCTCCAGTGAGCTGTGTCACAGCTGAGCTCCTCAGCTAAACCACCGTTGGGTGTCATTAGCACTGCCCAGCAGGAGCTGGGAGCCTGTTCCATCTCCAGGAGTGATTCAGCCCCTGTGGACGGGTGGCTGCAGACAGTGGAGAAGCTGTTGTGAAGCAGAGGTGGGGACAGGCGCACTTGCCCCCTGGCTCTGCAGGCAGCTGCCTGGCAGTGTGGGGTGCAGTGTCCATGCCCCACTCCTGGGAGCACAGCATAGAGCTTCCTTCTGGTCGGGAGCCCAGTGGGTGCTGGAACCCCAAAGCTGTTGATGCACTTCCCAGTCCCACAGCTTGCAACAGTGTTGTGTTGATCCAGGATTGTTAATGCTGGTGGTTTAGAGCAACACTTGGGCTTGTTCTGTGTGGAAATAGCTGCTCCCTTCCAGACAGCCTGATGGTACTTCTTTGTTATGGCTTAAATGCCTTCTCTCTAACATGACAAGATCTGGGAGCAGGCAAAAAGCTCCTTGGCTGCTGGAGCTGTGGGTGCTCTGGAGGTGGTGCCTGCCTGGGTAGAGCTCTGGGGCAGTGTGCCAGGGTTGCTGGAGACCTGGTGGTGCTGCCTGGGCCACCCTGCTCAGCTTCCAGGGCTGGGGACTGGGTGCCAGGGGGGAGATGGAGGGTACGGGTGCTTTGTCTTCCCGTGCATGCTCTGCCTCACTTCTCAGGGCTGGGATGACTCCAGGCGTGAGGGGAAACAGCTTTCCCTGAGAGAGGTGTTACAGCGGGATCCTGGAGAAGGGAGTAGGTGCCAGATCTCTTGCTGGGTTTGATTGGCCAAGCCCAGGGTGTAGCCTGTGTTGTACCCTTCCTGCTGGGGTGAAGCAGGGGGATGCAACCAGGGCAGGGGGTGGCAGGCAGGGAGACAGTGGAAGGAGCACCCACCTCTGACACTCCCCCTGAGTCACAGGCTGTGGATTGTGTTATCAGAACTGCAGTGACTGGGCCCTCCTGGTGTGCCTCTGCCTGTGTGAACCTTCCCCGAGAGCAACTGGTGACCCTTTGCTCAAAAGCCGAAGGCACACGAGCTGCCTGCCCTGGATGTGCCTGCACAGCAGGGCAAGGCCTGTCAGAACAGGCACCCTCCAATGTCTGCAGGTCAGAAAATACCTGGGTTTGAAGCCTGCTTGGGACAAGGAGCCCCAGGAGCCAGTGCTGACCTGGGCTGAAGTGTAACTTGGTCCTAGCGCCCAAACGTCCTTGTGCCTTGGGCTGCTGGGTGTGCTTTGGATCCCGTTTGATTCCTGACTGTCCCAACCTTTGGAAGTGGGTCTTACTTGCGGGGTTGTGTATGCCCTTTGTGTCTGAGAGCTGGGCCAGGTCAGCTCTGCTGCATGGCCCCTGCTGCTCATCTCTGGCCTGCCTTGGGCTGCTGCAGTGCAAGTAACTCCTGGTTTTCCTTCTGTTCCCCAAGGTCCCAGTGATCCCCGTGGTGTATTCCTCCTTCACCAGCTTCTATAACCCAAAGAAGAAACTATTTACATCAGGTACCAGAGCCTGAGGGTCTTTACAGTCACTCGGGGACAGGGTTGAAGCCATACCCAGTGGAGACCTGAGGGTGTGGGAGGGAAGCAGAGCTGGGGTGAGCAGGAGGAGTCCCTGTGGGACATGTGTGGAGTCAGTTCAAAGCTCTTGGCACGAGACCCTGGGCTGGGTCAGCTCAGCAAACTAGACTGTATTTAATTAGACTGTAATTAAACACTGTGAGGGATGTTTTGATTCAGAATGGGGCACCACCTCTTCTTGTAACTGGCGTGTGGGTTCTCACAGGCTCTTCTCTTGTTCCCAGGCAAAATCAAGGTTGAGGTTCTGCCTCCAATAGAGACCAAAGGCCTGACATCAGATGATGTCTCTGACCTCACTGACAGATGTTTCCACACCATGAGGGAGACCTTCTTCATGCTGTCGGGCCGTCCAAGTCCAAGTGAGGCAAAGGACTCATCCTAGATGCTTCTCCAGTGGCATCACCGTGTGGTGGTGGCTGAAGGGACCTATCTGTTGCCAAATCCCGAAGGAACTTCTCTTCCTCTGCAGTGACTTGTCACTCTGGGGACACCGTGGACCAGCACACACGGGTGTCCAGCCAGCGCTGAGGTCCCCGTTGAGTGGGCTTTTCTTAAGGGTTCATTATCTCGCAATGAAACGTCTCCTTTCTCTGAATTTCTCAGGCATCAAACTTGCGCTACCAAAGGGCTCAGTGACCGGAGAGGTGAGTTCCCCAGCTCGTGTGGGGTGACGGGAAGAGCCTGGCTGGAGGCTGGGCTCTGCCTCCTGTGTTCCTGCAGGCTCAGCTGGTGCTGGCCTGGCTGTCTCACAGGGAAACCACCAGGAGCAGTTTGTATCTGCACGACCTTGATGCTGCTCAACCAAGGCTGAGGATCAGGTGCAAATGCAGACTTTGGCTCTCCAGCAGCACTGGGAGCGGGTGTCCCCCCTGGGCACCCAGCATGGTGGAGGGCATGGGGTGCCTCTGGGACGGGGCCTGTCTCCCTGAGGATTGTCCTTGTGTCACAGCAGTGTTTGTGCTGGGGCTCTGCATTACTCCTGAGCTGAGTCCTTCACTTCTGAAGGAAGCACCAGGGCTGATAACCTCAGCTGGGGCTGCAGAGGGGAATGTGTGGGGCTGCTCAGCCTCACAGTGTTTCTTCAGGCTTGATTGCCTTGTCTGAACAAGTGCCCTTGCTCACAGAGGGGTGCAGCAGTGGGGACCTGACCAAGCCAGATGTATGGTGTGGTACAGCCCTGCTGCTTTAGGCCTCTTCTGAACAAAGCCCCCCACGCTTGTTTCTACCATTCAGAGCCACCAGCTTGATTTTAAAAACTACAGATGTTTCCCCTGGACAAACCTGTGCTCATGGGGACTTGTTCGGGGCACCCCTTTGGATACCCTGTGTGACCTGTGGGTGGCTCAGAGCTTCCTTGGGGTGGGGAAACTGCTGCTGCCGACTCCCAGCTGTGGTGGTGGCACGGCCTGGTCGCAGCGGGTGTCCTGGTGCCTACGGTACCTGCTGCATATGTAAAGGGCTCTGTGCTGCTCCTCTTGCCACTTGTCATGGTCAGCACTGGCCGAAAGATGGTGCCTGTCCCATGTCTTTGCTGATCGCGGTGGAGCTGCTGCTCTGGGAGAGCCGCGGGGGGGTGAGCGGGAGGTGTGGACCGGCTTTGGGGGGGGAGCTGTGACCCGGCTTGGGGGCTTCAGCTCCCTCTCTGGGGGAAACGGGTCCTTTCCTGTGCACATAAAGGGGTTTTCCCTGTGCTTTGGGGTGATGAAGGGCTCCTCCATCCCTCGCTGGAGCTGCACAAGTGGTGATGCCCTCTGCAAGGAGCAAGGCTGGGTCAGGCCCATGGTTCTGGGGTAACCTTCGCCTCTGACTTGGTTCAGGGAGGCTTTTGCTCTCCTGTTCATGGTGCAGGGTGTAGAACCTTGAGATGAGCTGCCTGGGGCTACTCAGGTAACCAATGCAAATGGCTTTTGCAGCCTGTGTTGGTGGAATTGTGGTTGTACGGCATTTGGGGGTTAAAGCCTCCACTGGGAAAGGCAGGGAATTCCTGTAACCGGGAGCTGGGGCCAGGGGGGCTTTAGTAGAGGGGCCTTAACAAGTACAGACTCAGGGGTCAGACCCTTTGCGGGCTGGGTTGGGGCGGGAGGATGGGAACTGAACCAGCACTTTGTAAGTGGCAGATGAGGGGCTGTCACAGAGGGTCCGGGGGGGGGAACAGTGTCCACTGAGGGACCTGCAGCATCTTCCCCGGGAGGAGGGAGCAGTGCCTCTGTGCAGTTTCTGCTGTTCACTTTTCATTGGGGTGATGATGATGTTACGTGCTTTAAAGAGAAAAAACCAACAAAGTACACCTTTGGTTATTCAAATAAAGGAGAG